TCAGCTCCCGGATCTGGAGATCCCTATTCTCGAATTCCAGTAATCGGGCATATTCCTTTTGAGAGGAACAATTGTCGAGTGCATTTTTGACTTCTTCCCACCCCCCTATCCTTATAAAGGATAAAAATGCAATTCGTATTTTCCATTGTAAAAATCCTATTTCTCATTCCGGACTCTAACGCTATATTGTGAGTAAAGGGCCAAGGCTCCGACAGGACCTGTAGCCCGAATGAATCTTCCGATGAGGACTGGGCTGGAATAGGGAATTATTTCCCCATCCGACACAAAGAAAAAAGTCAAAAGAATCCCACTAAGGCAGAGACCTAACCAAGAAACAAGGTATATGCGTAGATAATAGCAAAATATATATAGAACAAACAAAAAATAAAAAAAAAGTAGAAAGCTCGTATCAAACGAATACACAAAAAACGAAATACAAAGATCCAGCCTAAAATCAGTATTGCACAAAGCACGATCTTTGGACCTGTGGTCATTATAGCGCTTCCTTCTGATCGTACGAAACAAATAGGAGCGACCAAAACGAGAGATCGAAGAAGAAAGTTAATAATCGCTGCCTTTGGTACTACTCTTATTTTACACGATCCAGGAACTCGAATTTGTTGTTTCAAAATAAGTGCTATCCTAAGAAGCGATCGAAATCACTTTTGCATGTTCAGCAGTTAAGAATCAGCTTCCATCACCACAACCTCAGCGGTCATGATGACAACCTCTCCTAACGATCTATTCGACCGTCGGCCCCTGTTATGGTGGAGAGTGGGGCTTCCACGACACCCCATGCGGAGCCATACTCTCGTATGACCACCGCTTCTTAAAGATAGACCAAATCCGCATTTCAAAAGCCTGGGATCCTGTCCCTTGGACGACTTTAGTAAAGGGAGAATGGCAACTGGGCCCTGCAGTGGTAGAACCTGGTGAACCGGACGTCTTACTTCCCAACCTTTCTTTTCTTTTTTTATGAAATAACTAGTTTTTTGAACAGATCACTCCTAAATGAAGCAGTTCTTTTATATACGATACCACCAGACGCACCTTGGTACTTCCATCCGCCAATCAAGGCTAGTGGAGCGAAGGCTCGATATAATTGAGAAGCACTTTCTAGTGTGCGCTTTCGTTTTAGAATGTGTCGTTCAGCGTCACGAGTCTACAAGCCCCACTGAGACAGACCTACCTATAGTCTAGTCAAAGTACCAGTGACGGTGAGTAACGGTTTCTGGGTTCAGTCAGCGAAAGTGGGTGTATTTTGGAATAGGAGCTATTGAGAAAGAAGGATAGGGATAGTAGAATCCGGGTTCTATCTTCACTACCAATTTCCTGTTGACTTGGTCGAGTCTCTTCAGTACTTCTTTGATGGACTCCAGTTTTCCATGGGCTGACAGCTTTATCTTGTGGAATTGGTGCTTCTCTATCTTCACTTACAGGTGTCACATCTTCCACTGTTTCAGGACTTGGGCTCTCTTCTAATGTGAACCTTTCTTGTTGAAGGAAATCCTACGTGATGCCGATGCCGAGTCCGTAAGCCAGCTCTTCGTAGGTTGGCCGCCCTACTTAATAAAGAATAAGAAGAGTAGGAAGTCATGTAATGGCCGTGGCAACTCTTTTTTTTTGTCTCACTCGGCCCATCTGGATTCTTTCTTTTTGAGTCTGTCGCAAAGGTCGAGCTCTCTCAATCGCTTGAGCTGGTCTACCAGCCCTTGCCGCTCGCATTTGTCCCTTCAAGTCTCTCATCTGTCGATAGGGGAGAACTAATTCAGTGTATAAGACGCAAATACTCTTTTTTTTTTAGTATCCCCTTGTTAAGGAAAGCATTCGTCGTACTGGAAGAGCTAGGCTAGCACCGGACTTAGTTCCATTAGCCTGGAGTCTTTTACTATTTAAGTATGCGGCTTAATCCTTAATTAAAAGCCAACCTAAGACTACTTTACCAATCCTGCAAAGAGAACAACCCCTGTGGGAAAGAAGTGAAGTTCCCCCCTATTTAGACGATTCTAGGAATCAATGTTCCTTGCAATGGCAAGATCCGATATGTCACCACTTAAGTAAATAGCACCAGAGTCGAGAACAGAGAAAACCTCGTCTACCGCTCCTCGGGTCAACACCAACGCAATCTCGATGAAAAGACACGCCTACCCCGGGCCCTGACGTGAACGAAGCTCCAATGAGTCGCTCCTCGCTGGAATGTGAGAGGCGGACTGTCAATTCGTCTACTCACTACCTACGCAATAACTGATCCTCGGACGGAGCCATACCTTCAAAACTTGCTAGCCGACACCGGCTACCGCAAAGGGTTCAGTGGGTGGGTTGAAATCTCGTCACTTTAGAAAGTAAAAAACTCCGTTTGGTTGCTCGTTCTAGTGCTGAAGCAGAGTACAGGGCGGAGGCGAAGGCTTCTTATATAATAGTAAGCAGAACTGGAAGCATTCTAAGGTCTTAATGCATTTAGCCCATCCCCGAGAAACTCCAATACTTCTAACAATCAAGCGAATGCGCTCTAAGAAAGAATGATTCCCCGGAAAACTCCGATACGGCTAAGAAGACTACGATCCATCTTTCTCGCCCCATTTCCCTTTGAAGGAGGTGTAAGATAAGTCTCAATTCACGGACAGTTCCCTATCTTGCCCTAGGCCTATGCCTTCCTTTGTGACAATCAGTTTCTTTCTTACGATAAGAAGTCAAGTTCAGTTGCCCATCCCTCTTCAAGGTCTGTTGGGAAATGCTATTCCCTTAGGTCGGGTCAGGGAATGGGTATAGGATTCATTCTACGTGCAACTGAAGACGCGAGAAGCACAGTTGAGGCACCTTCGTCAAAGTAAGGACATGGGGTCCCAAAGTCCGAATCTCATGCATTCTGTGCAGTTCTTGTCTTATTCCCCTTGGGGCTACGAATGCCTTCCTTTGTTCTATGGCTTCAGACCTTTATTTATACATAGACTAGACTTGGCTTTCAGTAAAAATCCCAAATATGATCGAGGCACTCTTTCTCTTATAGCGCTCTTTCCTTCCCTTCGAGCTAGCCGGAATAAATCCATTTCTTTTGTCTGTAAGAGAAAACTTATTCCATGAAATAGGAGCGCAGCGGAGTCATGAACCAAACAAGAATAGCCACTTCCTTATCTACGCTATTTACTTTCCTCCCCTCGTGGGAAGTAGCAAGAGCCTTTATCTAATCGACTATTGAACCATCTCACCTTCAAGTCAGTCGCTACCTTAAGGCATGCCTTGACTCCAAGAGCTAACTCGATGGGACTTGCTTTCCTAAAGAGAAGACGAAGAGGATGACACCGGGGATCGTTCTTACTTAAAGAAATTCCCATGAGCTGCCTTGAGCTGGTAACTCCAAAATCGATGATTCTTGGCCACTGACTTACTGCTTTCACTCAAATGCCACTGGTGCGTAAGAAATTGAGTTGGACTACTTTCCTTCTGGTAATGGCTTTCCCTGTGGTCACCTTGCCCTTCTACTTACTGGCTTGGCTATTTCGAAGGATTCGCTTCGGCGGGTGATTGAACTAAAAAAGAATTTTTGAAAGTGGCACTCCTTCCTTGCTTCTTACCCCGTAGTGGGATATTTTTAATCGGTCGTAGATTCCCCGGCTTGGCTAGGAACCTAGTCCCTTCTTGTGACAACAGAAGAGAAGGAATTTCCTTCTTGTCCAATACCAACTATGATTTCCACGAAATGCTAGTCGAAGATCCACTATTTACTTATTTCTAATAAGATAGGACCATCGGAAAGAAAGTCAAGTAGAATCCCGTGCTTTCGGGTGATTCCGCATTCAAATGCTACCCACGTGAATGCTAGTCGAATCCGTATGCCCAAACCACATAAGATAAGCTAAGCAGCGTCATCGATTCCAAACGTGTGATTAGTAGCTGATGCAGAAAAAAGAAGAACAGCTTCTTCTTCTATGATGACATCTGCAGCAGATTCAATGGCCTCGGTCCGAAGATGGCAAAGGAGTCGTTCTTACCAGTCTGGCCAGTCCTCTCTCTTGGGAATTACCCAGTTCTCGTGAACAAGCCAGCAACAGCAAAGAAAGAGCAAGCGGGTACGAGTCCTCGGAAGGGTTTTCGATCGGGAATTCTCAATAGAAATATGGTAGAGAGCTAAGGAGGAGAAGGATTGGCAGCCAGTCTTCCAGTTGTTCTGGCTCATCCGGTTTCGGAAGAATAGCTAATAGCGGGAGCTCGGATTGGGAAAGGAAGTTCCAGTCCGACGAGCAGACAAGCCAGGAAAGAGAAAAAGGGCAAGGGGATTAGACAGGTCTGGAACATCAGATTTAGTTACAGATAAGACTCATCTCATTTTCCAATGATCCCTCTATCTTACCTCCCTTCTTCTTGTACTTCTCGGTCCGGAGGGACTTAGTAAAAGACTAGGGAAATGGAACGTCAGACCTGGGGAACCATACTCGCGCTTGCGAAGACTTCTAGGGATAGGCGGATACGATTTTCTTTACTCGATGAAAGGAAGGCAATGCGACAATAACAACATACAAAAATGGTGATCCAAAACAATCATCAGTACCTCGCTACACCTCAAAGTGGAAGGATTATAGATTGCAACACTTCAAACACTAAGGGGAAGGTTGAGTTCTTTACACTACGTGTACTTGTTACTCATTCCCTTGTTACTTATCTTATTAAAGCGTCAGAGGGTTGCTCGGGGAGTAACCCGAACGATAGACCAAAACCTATCTTTTCCNCTCGCTCGTAGCAGCTCTGACTCATTGATCCTCGTAACCCTCTCTGTGAAAAAGTAATTGGCTTAGACCCACTCGCACTGACTTCCTACCCTGGTGTAATGCTTTTCAGGGGTGAGAACTGGATGAAGCCGGATTCTTCTCGTTCGGGATACCTGGCGCTATGTAATAGCCCTCGGCCTAAGGACATTTCTCAACGGTGAGAGCTCTTCACCGGTGCTTACCGTCTCGTAAGCGGCTCGACTCAATAACTTCTTCAAATCGCCTACTGCTTGCTTTACTTGTAAAAGACTGCCTTGACTGAGAATTGTGTATATAAAGAGAAAGACGAAGATCAAGTCTTTGACTTCAGGTTGCAGGAGAGTATGGGAGCTGGCTCTACTAATATAATAAGTAGTTTAGAGAGAACTCGCCCAAAGGCGTGATGTAATTGCCCTTGATAATAAAATAGTGGTCTAAGCCGGCTGTTAGTGCACCTTCTCTTTCGCACGAAGGCTACGCTCCTTCTCCTCGATTCTGGATAAGGGCTGAAGATGGAGTTTATGTTCTTTCAGGTTTAGCACCATAGGCTAAGTCCGCTAGTCTTGCATTCGTTCCTCGGGTGAAGTTAGTTGGTGGAATATCCCTACCCCAAAAACAAAAGAATAAGACAACTATCCTTGAGGTCATTGTAGCGGCCTTTGCTTCGGGTTCAATCGTATCAGCGCCTTCGCAGCCTGCCTGAAGCCTTGAAGATAGATCATTTTGGTTGCTTGTTGATTGATTCGGCGTAACGAGTGATAGAAATACCTTACGAGGGTTTAAGGAAAGCAGTTCGTTCAGTTCAACTTTGTATTCAATCGGGCAAGCTTTCACATATTCTGATTTTGATTCTCTATTTGAGCATTCCCACTTCAAAGATGAGGTTTGAGCCTTATTTTGTATGCCTCGCCGAGGGATTTTCCCAGCTCTAGCTACAGAACAAGAAGCGAATTAGCTTAGCTCTCGAAACAACCGGCGAAGGAGAAAGTTGTCCGTCAACGGGTCAATTCATTGCTTTAGGTAGGCTCTACTTGTAATTGAAATATCAGATGGGAGAACCAGTTCGACAATAAGACCTGGGAAAGGAGATCACATGGCTTTTTCTAAAATAAAGCTGCGAAGAACAATCAAGGGATAACACCTCAATTAGGGCATTCTAGTTCGACATGCTACCTTCTCGTTGTATCGATTCTTGCTAGCCTAAAGGTGGTTTAGAAGCTTTGACTTGCGAAACTTATCCACTACTGACGCGAAGCTAAGGTTGCGTAAGCACAAGAGATTGAATAAGTAAATGCTAGCCTGACCCGCTCTTAGTCATCAAAAGAAGGAAGCCGAAAAGGAAGATAAGATGTTTTTACGCTTTTTATTTTTAGCCGCTCCCCTATATAGAAAGGGGGGTCCCATCATTCCTTAGGGCAGGATAGAGTAATCTTTCTTGCTCCATCTTAGGCGCTATTGCTTCTAGTTAAAGATAAGAGCTAGTCTTTCGCTGAGTAGACATCGGAAAGAGAGAAAGATGTTTCTAATTTCTCGCGTCTTATCCCCTACTTTTAATCCATTCGAGTTGGAATAAACTTTCAATTGGTTGGACAAGAAGAGTTGCAACGTGTAACATAAATAAGACGGATCCCCCTCTAACAAGAGAAGAAGCCGTTAGCAGTCCTGGTTAGGGTTTCGGTTTAATACCAATCTCCTTATTCTGATAGCAGAGTGGTGTTAAAACCAATAAGATAAGTATGGGCGATGACCTAGTCTTTCAACCTATACAACATATGCAACATCCTCGGTTTAGCAATCAAGTGATTAGTTCAGTCATAAGTATTCGTTCTTTGAGTCGGTTTAGTTACAATCTCAGTCCCCTATCAAGTAAAAGCATCCCGAGCACCATTAGTCTCACTATCTTTCCTTTCATCTCTCTTCTAGAGCAAGATAGAGGATGGATGGGAGGAATTTAGCTTCTTCGCTAACCTTTGCGAAAGCTCGTCCTTCGTCCTCTTACTAGTGAGCGAGTTAACCTCCTACGGCCCCTCGTAGGTCGTATTCGCGTATTATATTATATAGGGGGCTTCGCCTTGGTAAATTAGCCCAGCCCTCTCAAATTCAAAAAAGAACCGCTTCTCATAAATCCTCCTCCCAAAGGTAAGTAGGAGACCAGAGTGATAGTGTTGGGACAAATCCCAATAGGCGAGATTCTCCGCCCTTTCTAGTTCACGTTCAACAGCGGTTACCATTCACTCTCAAGCCAGCCGCTTTGTGGATGGCAGCTTTTCACTCGTGGGAAACTAGCCGGATTAGAAAGACTTTACTCAATAAGACTGGGTAGTGGAAAGACTCAAACTACTCTATTAAGAGTGCCTTCAGTAGAGGAAGAAGAGAGATAACAGAGACTACCAAAAAGATTTTCTCACGACTTCCGGGCGGGCAGTTACTTCAATCAAGACTTTAGCGGAAAGGGCTAGTGGAAACCCTAAAACCTTTCTTTAATCGATGCCACCGGAGGCGAAAACAATAGTTAGAGGTAGTCTCTGACTCCCACCCTTCTACCCACTACCAATCGTGACACGCGCACGTACTATTTCCACAGCTTCTTGATTGGCACCGCAACAGATTACTCTATTAAGAGAGAACTTTGATGTCAGGAAAAGAGCCAATGCGTCGATAGCAGGGTAAGGACTCTCCCGTCGGGCTAGCCTAGTCAGCCCGAACTCGGTAAAAATGACCAGTCAGTAGTTAAGCTGGCTTGGCTTACGCTTCCTTCCGTACCATATTATTAGCTGCAGATTCTTCATTTTAACTATCTTCGCTTGCCTCAGAAAGATACCCTTTATTTCAATATGCTGGTATCTTTAAATTATCCAAACTCGATTGAATGGCATTGAGGCTATTCTGTAGATCCTTCAGGTACTTTGGCAGATTACCAAGGTTAGTCCAGTTCAGCTACTGAGTTATGCCCAACGACTTGAACTTGAGATCACAACGAACTATATGCTTATCTGGTGGATGCGCGTCTTGGGCTCTTTGACCTCTTACGGGATTTCGATCTTTCTAGTTGGACGAAAACAAGGCCCCTAAAACGGTTTTTTGACCATGACTGGATTGGAGAACCAGGACGGGTAGTGTACCTCCTTGATAATATCAGTCCCCAACAACTTATCCACTTCTTCATTTATTGCCTCATTCCGATCAGGAGCAAAGGATCTTTTCTTCTGCAGCTCGGGAATGCCATATTCTTGCCCTTAGAACAAGCTCTTCGAAAGCATTCGTTTTCTTAGACTAAAAGATTGTTCCGGATAGGAGACCCGTACCTTATTCTCATTGTTCAAATGAAGAATCTTATCATAACAGGGATCAAGCATACCGAAAGACAATCAAGTCCACTTCCAAGCCATCGGAAGCAGGAAATAGGTCTGTCTTTGTAACCTACATCGTCCCAGGCACCTAATTGTATTAGTGAAAACTAGCAAGAACTCAGGGCTGGTGAACAGCTCCCCTAAGCCGAAGCTAGGAATCTCAAAATCGAGCATTTTTGCTTATAGAAAGAATCGAGTTCAGTCACCGAGAATGGGTGGAATTCAGTTTATGATAGATAGATCTTTTCTCTGTGGTGCATAGAATCGATTAACACGGGTGAACCCCCTTTGACTTTCCCTGAAACAGGGTTTGGTGAAGGAAGAAGTCTTAGCCTTGTGCTCGTGACCACTTCACTCTTGCTTTCAATTAAAGGCACTTGACTAGCTCACTTGGTAGACTGTGAAAAGAAATTCCCAAATTTACTTTTTTATGTGGATACAATATGAGAAGGTTTTGGCCCCGTAAGGGCTGGAACTGGGATGTGCTTTACCGGCGGATGTATGAGCTGCTCTAATCAAATTTGTTTACTTGGAAGTTGGGCTAAACACCGAGAAGAATTCATGATAACTCGTAGAGCTACTGAAAAAAGAGTGACGGTTTCAGTTCAGTCTAAGGTCTCCCCATTGGGAGTCTGATATAAATAATAACTTACCCAGCCTTAGTAGAGTGAACTGAGTCCTGGGTAGGGCTCCTGAACGAGCAGCTTAGAGTGAAGCTAAGCATTGGGGAAGAAGGTTCTGGAATAAGATCCTTTTCTTCCCTGCCTTAGAGGTATTGAAAAAGCTCAGCAGAGGCTGTCATTGACAAGAGTGAAACTGAACAAAATGGCATTGTTCCATTTCATTACGTTTATAAAGCAAGGAAGGCAATAGCGCTAGCCAGCAAGCAAGGACCTTCGTTCCACGGCATCCGATTCTTTTTTGTAATAAGAAGGGACGTAACTTCCCTAAAACTGGGGTTATTCTTTATATACGAGTTTACCAGGGGTTGCAAGAACAGCTTCAACAACAGCCAAAGTACGCCCCGCCATAGGATACGGAAGCTCGACCATCCATCGGCTTCGGATTGTTCTTTTGCTAAGGAATCAAAGTCAAAGTCTGGCTGTGCCCGAGCAAGGGCTTTCTATATGCAATTTCTTGAGTAGCCAGCATCTTCGATTAAAAGGGGAAGAGTTTCTTGCTGTCATAGGAGCGTCAAGCAACTCAAGTTAGAGGAGCGGTTTTCCACTCTTAACCGTTGCACACGAAAGAGGGGAACGTAGCCTCTGAAGAATCGTAGTTCCTAGGCGCAGCTGGGCCAGGAAAAAGAATAGAAGAAGCACGATACTTCTCGAAGTATCTCGCGCTTATTTTATTTCAATAGAAGGGGATGCCCCCAATGCGGTAATAGCCGGTAGAGACCTACGTTATTCACAATAGGTGAACTTGCTAGAATGCTCTTTAATAAACTTATATCGGTAACTGGCTTAAAAGCTCTATCCCCCTACGTTAGCTGGCTGAAAAAAGCAATTTCTCCTTAATCAACTCGGTAAATTGAAAGAAGTCCCAACCACGAGGCTTTGCCGCGAGAGTTTCGACATTAGTGATTTGCTCTGAATCTGGCCTCTAAACCAAGGCAAATAGCCCATAATACATATGAATCCGACTGATCAGACCGAACTGCCAATGAAATCCATTTAGCCAGTTAAGCTAACAAGAAAGAAATAGATCAGAAATCGAGTTTGAAGGCCCGAGAGTACGGGAACAGGTCTGGTAGGGAAGGTGCGAGATGACTACTTCTGACTTCACTGCGCTTCACTTCGTTCGTTGGGTCTGCCTCAACAAATGAATCCGTGACTGCAGCGACTGAGGAAGGAATGGATGGAGTCATTGCCAGCCGTCTTGTATCCTGGCAGAAGATCCCCAAAAAGCAAGAAGCATTTCTTTCTAAAAAGAAGACTTGGGAAAAAGCGCCTCTTTCGCGGGGTGAGCAAAAAGCATTGACTTTGCGCCCGCCGTTCCTACTAATCTTACTCCAACAAATGAATAAGAGGCCACTTACTTGGTAGAACTTGAATCAGATTCATTCTCGGCTTCTAAAACTCAATTACATCGACCCTCGCTAACCATGCGCTCCACAAAAGAAATTCTTCGTTGATGGAACTCAAAGTTGTAGAGCAGGTCGTCTTTCATATCGAGCCATTGAAGCAGCGCGTCGGAAGATCTGAATTTGGTTATTCCACGAGTGAAATCCTTCCGACTGTCGGATGCTATTTCCTATTCCTTCATTAGAAGAGAAAAAGAGGTCAATTGCATCTTTAGAAGCGCAGTGAAGTCAAAAAGGAAGTAACTGTCTCAATATCTCATCATCCTCTTTCCTGACCTCCTTTCCAAACTATTCTCCCTGGTTTTCCTCTTTATTCCATCCCTGTACTGGCTCTACTATAGGATTGAAACCACATTTCTAGGTTTAGAAAGGAAGAAAGCAAAGTGAAGCCAAAACATACCCCCCTCTGACCCCACTTTCTCTGCACATCATTAAGGCAAGGGCAGATAGGCTGGCTCATATGCCAGGCTTTGATCTCATCAAAAACCAAGCTATCTATACCTGTAAGCCCACGGTTGAATTCCAATGCTTTGATTAGTTACGAAGACGTGAACCTTTACCTTTGTACTTTACAAGAGCAAGAGTCGTTTCATCGGTGGAAGGGAAGACGGGAGAAGGTTTGACGACTGAAGCCCGACCTCTATGATCTGAAATGAGTGCGGAAATGTCTCTTTAAGAAAAGGATCTTTACAGAAAAAGAGCTCAGAGGTTTCTCAATTACATGGATCCTATTTTCTTTTTTCTTCTCGATGAGAGGCTTCCCCAACAGCACTGGTTTGTCAACCTCCATGGTCTTTCCCAATCCAATCTTTTTCTATTACTGACACCTGGAGCCAGCTTAAATTGCTAAAGCAATTAGAATAGACAACAGCGTCTCTTTTAGTCTTCCAGGCTGGAATCAACGGGGAGCAATCGAAAAAGCCAGACCCAGCCAAGACCTTCTTCTTATTATCTTCTATTACAGGAGTTCCGCTCAAGACTATGAC